CTACTGTAGTGTTCCACATCTCTAAAAACACAAAATTCCTATCAATGCCAGATAAGCATGGAAAGATTCAGAATGGGCTTTCAGACTCACTGGTGAGTGGGAAATTGATCTATTCAGCTTTTGTTCTTTTTAGATTTCTTTCTATTTCTTAATTGTTAGGTGGTCAGATTCTTCCCCATCTGCTTCCCAGCTGAGTGCTTATTGCCTTGCCAATAGGCAATCCTTTCAGTCTATTTCAGTTATTGGCTAATGGCCTTGCCTACCACCAGGGCTGAAGTCTTTGATGCAGGAAGATAACAGAACTACTTCCTCTGTGTTCTACTAATGACCCACGCCTGTTATGGTCTTCAGTTTTTAAACAACATACTGTCAAACAGCACAGCAAGGCAAGGCAACTCTGCGAGGAAAGGTGGTCTACATTTCCAACTTATTTGAAACAAAAAGTTTTGAAACCACTGTAGATGGTGCCATGTTTAAAATACAGTTGTGTTAATCTGGAGGTCAACACTACAGCAGCTTAATGTTCACCTCAAACATCTATTAAAAATACAATTTGCTCTGTTCAGATAGGGTTTTAAAAACAAGTTCCCCCCCCCCCTTTTATCCTAGTTAGGGATGTGAGTAGTGGACTACTCGCTTCTACCGCTTTGCTGCCTCGGTATGAGAGGCAGCAAGGGGGGGGGGGGGGGAGGGACTGGCTTAAAAGTCAGTTCCCCCGAGCATTGTCTCCACGGTCTCCCCTTCCTTTCATTTCCCCTCCCCAAAAGACGCAGTCGGGGGAGGAAGAGGGATAGGCGAGGCTGTTCTGGCAGCAGCCCCTGCTCATGATGGTTGGGGCTGGCCGCAGACAGGGGCTGCTGCCAGAGCAGCCCCTGTCCATGGCCTGCCTGGGCTCGTGAACAGAGACTACTGGACCCAGTGCAAGCCGAGACCAAGCAGTCCCAGCTCACGCCGGTCGGGGATCGCTGCACCTCTGCATTTTAAATGTAGTAAGAGCCTGGCAGCCAAATAACCACTCTTTAACATCCATAATCCTAGAATAGCCATACCCTGAGGGGCATGTCAGCAGGAGTGGCAGACTGACTTAACTCGTTTACAACATCCTTTTTAGATGGTTAACTTAATTTCCTCTAAAACCTCAGAGTTTACATGAATTTCCCTTTCTGCAGAATTCCAATTGGGGTCATTTGCATGCTTTCCAGACACCTCACAGGGTGGCTCAATAGCCTAACTCCTATCGCCACTAAGCACCTTTTCTTCTCTTAGAAATTGGTAAATTTTACATAAAGTTCATCAGCATGGCAGAAACCTATCACTTGTATCTATAAGCTCCAATATCATGACAAAATGCCTTTTGAAGCCTGTCAACACTATTCCCTCAGCCAGCCCACAGGACTGTTAAAACAAGAATGTATGCTAATCCTCCAGGGATTGAACACTGCGCCTCCGCAGCCCTCCCAGCGCTGTTAGATACTAGATAACTGGGCTAATCTCAAACACCAGTTTGTATGAACATTTTAGAAGAGTCTCACCCAAGTCTACAAGGTCTAGATGCAGCTTCAACATGGCTATGCTAGAGATGTGGGAAGTATTCCCTGTTCCATGTGCTGAACATAACATACAACTTTGTTTCCCTTAGAGACTCAAAGAAAAAAAACCAATTGGGGGGCTGCACAGAAGCGAGAAACAAAAAAACAGAAAACCCCCACAAACCCTCATGGACGTGGCACCTGAGTGAGGAGGAGAAAGACATTCCAGAGGTGGTACTTGGTCCTGCCATGACCTCTCAAGGTCCCTTCCAGTTCTATGAGATAGAACTATCTCCATATGTTATATTATGCCCCACATTCCCCTCAGACACCAGAGCCTCGGAAGGCTCAGTCCAGTAGATTGTGTGTGCTCCAGCCTTGGGGGGGCGGTGGCGGTGCTGGAGCACCAGCAGGAGTTCCCCCATGCTGGGGGTAGCTCTGAGCCTCGAGGCCAGATCCAGGAAAGCTGAAGGGCTGCATTCAGCCCTCCCACCCCTTCCTTATGATCTGGAAGTGAGACATCTTTCCTGCGTTTCATGTGCACCAGTGTCACTAACCTTTTAGCTTGACCCTAAATCCTCTGAATTTCATTTATAATTTTTTTCCTTGGTTCTGAATTATTTGTAGGATTCACAATCCATTTTTGTGCTTCCCCAGTCCTGTACTGCCATTAACAGTCTCAGAAGCGTAGCAGTGTTAGTCTATAAGTTTAAAAACAAGTAGCCCTATAGCACCTTCAAGATTAACATATGGGCAAAACTCACTGGTGCTACAGGACTACTCATTTCCATTAACAGGGCCACTCGTCTTGAAATTAGGTGTCTTCTGGCAGCTGTTTTAAGTGTGGGGGGAAAAAAATTAGGAAGGGGTGGTCAGAGAAAATAAAGGGAACAGAGAAAAGAAGGAGGCGGAGTCAGGAGGGGAAAAAAAGGGTAAATGTGAGAATACACACAATTCTGCAGATTCACAGTTTAAGCCATGTGGCTGACTAAAAAAATGTAAAAAGGCACAGTCTGCTACTCGATCGTCCAACTACTGCGGATAAAGTAAAGTATCAACATCTACAGAAGTAAAAGAAACTAACATATGGACTATTGTCCAGGCCAGCCTGAAGAAATTCAAAGTCACTGTACTACTGAGATTCTTTTAAGCTTCCATATCCTCCTCTCTTCTAGAGACTGGGGACACATTAAATATTTCTAGTCTACATCAGTGGCTCCCAACCTTTTTTATACCACAGACCAGCAAACCCATTCACAAACTTTTGGTGGACTGGTAATATTTATTCAAAACTGCAAATAAAATGTTACCAGTCCACCAAAAGTTTGTGAATGGGTTTGCTGGTCTGCGGTATAAAAAGCCCTGGCCCCTCCTCCCCCCAGAGGTC